CATTTACAGGAAGAAAAGGAGGTTGGAGAATAAGGGAGATAGAAGTAGTCCCTGTCTGAAAACATGGGAGACTTGGGAACTTGGTGCCCAGTCAGTGAGCTGTGAACCTTGTTTAAACATTGAGGTGAGCTGGCCAAACGCTGCTCAGGCTGCAGGCTGCTCTGCAGGATGGATGCTTGCGGAGAGGCTGCATCAGGGAATACACGGACTGAGGGACCAGTTGCTGTTCCTTTCCAAATGCCAAAGCTGTGACCCAGTAACTGTTTGGAAGTCGCCTGACTRCTTGGATAGGCGAGAGCAGAGCTAGGGCTGTGCAGTGCAGCGGGGACGGCGCTGGGTTAGAACTGAGAGTTCCCAGGCTTAGAGCTTGAGACTGTGACTTGGAGGGAATCATTTCCCCTCTGTTCCCTCTTGCCCACCCTCCCTCCCCCACCCTTCTGCAGGAGCTTCGTGGCTCCTTCCAGGTAGGGCTCTCCCTGGCTGCACATGGTTCCGCTCCCAGCAGTGTTCCAACCGCCTCCGCAGCGGTGCCGGTAACAACCCTGGGATGTCTGCTGTGTCCCCCGGGGGAGGCCTGAGCATCAGCCAGCCCCGCTGGTGCTTCTCCCAGAGAGTCTCAGGAGCCTCACAGGCTCTACTCAGGTGAGCAGAGACAATTTTCTGTGAGAACAGCTTTGCCAGTTGAGTGCCTTGCCTTGTAACAACCTGTCATTATGGGCCTCACCTGCTATTTGTCTATATAGCAGCTTGCACAATTAAGGGGATAGAAATACAATAACCAACTAGCTAAGTAAAGGCATCATAAATTGGCTAATAAAATCCATTTCCCTTAGCTGTCCTCTTACACTGAGGACCCAGCCTGAGCTTTTGCTTCACAAGCAAGGAACCCGCATTAATTTTTCAGTCTGTTATTTGAAAACAAACAGACAAATAACCACTTGCTTCTGCCTCTACCTCCCACTTGCATGTGAGCATGAGGTGGTGGCACAGAATGATGCAACAGAAAACAACAAAACCAGATGCTGAAGCCAGAACCTTCCAGCATAGTGATGCTCATCTTGACAGAGGGATCTTTCTCCATTAGCTCTAAAGGGAGACAAAGTTTTTTATTTTTAACCCCTGCATGCACAGAGGAGACCCACAAAGTTCATTGTTCTCCCCTCCTCCCACCCTGAAATCCTTTAAGGTGTCACTGAGAGGCCCCCCTTGGGGATATGTTTCATTTCTAGTTAGAGAGTCTCCTACTTTTAGCCCAGCCCAGATGAAAGTTCTCAGGCTGGACACCCAGGGACTGCTCTGCTGCCAGGGAGCGCCGCTCCCAACCGTTCCGGCCGGCTGGATGAGCTGGAGGGAAAACAAATCCAAGTAGCAGTTTTGTGGTGTCCTTGACTGGCCATGCAGGACAGAGCCTTGGCTAGAGTCGTTGGCACGGGGGATGACAAGAGCAAACCTTTATCTTTCAGTTGCTTCCCGTTCCGTTTACATCTTCCAAGTGAGACTCCAAGTATTCCAAGTATCTCCTGAGGCCAAATTGCTCTGGTATTTCATAGTCAGTTTTGCCTTGAAGTAAGACTGACAGTCAGTTTTACTCCGCTACTATAATGCCAACTCCTCTTAAGTTGCTGTTATCATTCCTAAGGGCTAATCCTGCTTTCTATACTCCGATAAAATCAGGGCATGCATCTAAAAATTCTCCAAAACGTATTAAGCGGTTTCTCTCAATAATATTTACAGATTTATGAAATGCAGCAAAATGTGCTACTCTGCCTCCCCTGAACCAAATGATAAGAAGTTGTGACAAATACACAGATAGTGTAAAGTCTGGCTCGCTTGGTGCATCTGGACTGAGTGTTCTTGTGCCTGCCCCAGCATGACAGGCTGGTTTAGTGACTCTAAAGCCCAACACCTCCCACTGGTGCTTGCTGCTTTCTTTTTCATTTCTCTTTGGAAATCCCAGTTCATTTCATGGTCAAATAACCACCCCCTACAGTCCCCCTTTGTTTATCAGAGACCTGGCACCGGATGAAAGGACCATATAGATAATTTATGGGAAATTGGTAATTGAATCTTGGCTGCTCTCATAAATCATGTCACCTAGCTATCAAACAGCTGTTGTAGTGTAACAGTCCAAAACCCATATAATTGATGACTTCTTTGCAATACTCCAGCACACATGACTGGTGATTTCACTTCAGCTTTTTCTTCTCTCTCAACGATGTTTTGAAGTTCCCACTGAGCAAAGCTCAGCTGTATGGTGTCTGAATGGCCCTGCAAACTGARTGGTCAAAGTCATTAAGTAAAACGTTGATAAAGGGAGACCTTAATTGAAATTGATGAGCAAACTGAAAGGTCCTTCTTTTAAGCTAGTTGCATGTGAGCTTCTACAGCCAGCAACTGCACCAGAATGTGGATCACTTGCCTCAAGATTCCTGTTGAAACCATCCCTTTAGCTAATCCTGAAGGCAGATCCTCAGCAGTTGAGGGCTGAGGTCAAATACCACTTAATCTCTTTCAAGTTTTTTTCATGAAAGTTCTGATGGGCATTTGAACCCTGGTGGCTGCAGAGGAGGCTCCTGTGCTTTTGTTTCAACAGCGTCTTTCCATCCTACTACTGCAGGAACTATTCCACCTGACAACAGGGATTGTTTCATTGCGATAAATTATATCAGTACTTTCTGTTTTATCCAGTACATCTTGATCTTTATTTTGGCTGCAGGTACATGGTAAAAAAGTTCCCTCTTCCTCTTGCACAAGTTATATTGATRTGACTGCAAGGAAGAGAGTTCCTGTATTTCCTAGGTTCACTGCCTTGCAGATAGACTATTGACAAGTCTTGCAAAACACCAGGGCTTTCAAAAATGTCTTTCTGCAAAAGCTGTGAAGCTCAGGCCTGGGGATAGGTTAAAATTGCAAACTGTGCTGGGTTTGAGATGTTCTTCTAGCCCTTCCTGTCCTGGGGTGTTGTGCCTGAAGGCTCAGCAGCAAGGATGGCATCTCTGCAGTGTTGGCTTTGGAAGCATTTTAGGTGCGGAAACTTTTTATCCTTCTATATGGATGCATCAGTGTAGAAGGGAAATGAACTGGGATTTATAGAAAGCTTTAGAACTTGGCTGAYGCTTTTAGAACCAGCTGATGCTTTTGCTGGCTGTAGTGAACTAATGAGGCTAGGAAAAAATAGAAAACCTGACCCAAATGTTCTATGCTGGACAAACATAAACTTGAGCCTTTTAATGATACCCCAGTAGCTTTGCTCCTTCCAAAGCTTGGAGATGCCTTTACCTGCTCTTTGGGTTTCACAACTCACCCTGAAACACAGATTTTGGACCTAGGTGGGTGCCCTGAGGACTCTGCCCTGCCAGGAAGGTAAAGTACTGCGGGAAGAGCTTAGCTGCTGTTTGCTTGCATGGGAGGAAAGAGCTGTTGTACTCCAGGTTGTTCAGGGCGATGTTTTGTGGCTGAGCCTGTAACAGGGTGCCTGTGAGCCTGTGTGGAAGCAGAGCAGTGCTGAGCCCAGGGTAGGCCGCCAAGCGTCCTTGGTGTCATCTCAGTGTGGTCGATGCTTTACTCCATCTGATTCAGTATGTGACCTGCTTGCATAAGCAGCCCTGGTAACCTTGACTCTACCCTGCTGAAGTCTGTTCCACTCTTAAATTGGGCAGTTAAGTTTGAGCTAGGCCTAAACTCCTATTTCAAGACATGACATCTTTTTCTTCACCTCCCCCTGGATAACAGTGGAGAATTCCAAACCGCTAGGGAAGCCTAACTGTGCCTGCCCAGTGAACCCCTACTGCCTGCTGCGTGGAGGAGACAATTCTTGTCTTGGAGTCCCCATGTTTCTTTGTAGTGAAGCTTCTGCTTCTCCTGCCTCCTGCTGCTTCTGCGTGGATGGCAAGGAGCAGAACTGTGRGGTGCTCCCTGCAGCCCTCAGCCAGGCAAGGCTTAAATCCCCACGATTGAAACCTGCAGCCTGYCCCGTACTGCAAAAGAGCTGCGAAAAGCAAGTCACAGGGAGAGCAGCATGGAGGGAGAGYGGCCGGGAGCTGAGCTGCCTTGCAGATCACAGACTCTCCTACAAAATTGGAGTCTCATGTTGGCTTATCTAATTATTATAATTAGGTGTAAAGTAATTAATAATCTGGCTTAATTTCAACCTACTTTGCTCAATTGCAGTTCATTACATGGAAAATCAGTGAAGTCTTATTTCGCTCTTAAGATCATCCAGAACAAAGGCGACGCACAGATGCTGCGTTTTTTAAGGGCCTGTATTTTTAAATTAATTTCAACTTTTGAAACAATTAATTTACTTGTAACATCTAAGGAAACTCATGCTCAGCTGTAGCGTGTCAGCGCTGTGAGCTCCGGGGAGCTGGGCTGTATTGCTCAAGTGTAACTAGGAACCCAAATCTTGTTTCCAGTACAGTGTGAAGCTTAGCTTGAGCTGAGGAATTGCGGCCTGGTGGTTTTTGCCAGAGAAGGATTAAATTCCCCCAGGGTACAAGATGCTCTACAYGAGCTACCATTTCTTTGAGATGCTGAGAGCTGTTGATCCTTGCGGGTTCGGCGGGACGGAGGTGCTGGTTTTTGTGGCAGCCCTGGCCGCTGTGCCAGTCTGCAGAGCAGGGGCTGTTCTCTGGGGTGGAGCAGCGCGTGGCTCAGCCCAAGGGACAGATCCAGTGCTCACAATGGAGAAACCGTTTGCTGCCTTCAGCTTGCCCAGGAATGCTGCAATTAAAGCATGCTAYGTGCTAATTAGCCCTCCAAAAAGGGGACCTTCCCTCCCCTTGACAGTTTTCTCCACCTGCTTTTCCCTACTCTTCACCTGTTGAGTGGTTGATCTGCTTGCAGCTCTTACAGCGGGTTGGGACAGGTCCCTTTTCAACAGACAGGTAGAGAGTTTTTGTGCTGCACCACAGATTTCATATGAGCCTTGGACAAATTGCTTAGTTTCTCTTTATTTCTTCTCCCCTTCAATGAAAGTAATTCTTTTTTTTTTTCCTCAGGAATATATGGAGGCAGCTTCAGATAGCAAAGTCTTGCTAATTATTTGCCTCTCAGCCCTGCTCGAGGCTGTCATGGTAAGTGCTGCACAGATACAAAGAGGGAGGCAAAATCATTTGCCTCATGTAATGAGGAAAGACTGATGTTTGCCTTGCTCTAAGGGGAAGTTTGCTTTATACCATTTCCAGCATCATTCACAGCAGACTTGTCTAAGAACTTGGATCTATAACTTGGTRTTTTCCCCTTTTCCCAGTTGCTGAGTAAATTTAGCCACAAACTAAGGCTTGAGACTAGTTGTTTTTCCTCTGCCACTGGTAATACCCTTAGCAGATAAAATCTGTGGGTTGAGCGATGAGAGGAAGGGGCTTCATTACATATTTCAAAACACTTAAGCATTTCCGTTCCTCTGTCACGGCTTGCTGGATACCACGGGGAAGTGTAGGCTCTTGGACACAAACCTGAGAAAGAGTGAATGCCAGAGGTGACAGGGAAATGTGCTTTTAAGCTGGAGATAGACAGAAGCTCACATTTGAGTAGCCTTAGTATGTAGGCAAAGATAGTTTATAGTTCATTTCATGTAGTTGCTTGTTATCAATGCTGCATCCATTCTGAATTTCAGGACCTAGGTTATAGAATATCAAGGTAGATTCTCTTTTATTGCTGCCTTAAATTTGCTATGGTGTCCAAATACCAGCTCTTTGTCCCAAACTCCTGTGCATCCTTGGTTTGGGCCTCTTTTGTACCAGCTTCACGTTACAGTAGCACCGATGACATTGGTAATATTTTCCCATATTTATCTCAAGATTCTGTAAGAATGGAACCTCAGCTTTATATCTGGTGATACATATKTATGTTCTGCAAAAATGTCTTGCTGTAGGATACCCAATCCGTGATGAATTGTGAGCCTCTTCAGGAAATTACCATCTACAAGGGCACCCTGTCAGAAGGAGGGAGAGAGTTTACACTGATATGCAAGTTACATTTAAGAAGAACTGAAAGTCTCAGACAGCGTAAGGCAAACTCTAGAACAAGCTGTCAGAACAGTGCAACCTTTAATATTCATATATCTATTCAGGATGCATCACTGCATAATGCGTATTGCAGTCATCAGAAACACATGTTTAGCAGCTAGAAACAGTAAAATAACTTGTTAAAGCTAAAATGTAAATTATGAGACCGATTTACCTTTGCATTTCTAGTTGCTTTGTGCCAGATATTTTACAAAGGAGGCATGAAAATCTTATAAATGGTTTAATAAATCAGATTAATGCCTTTTTCTTCTTCTTGGAAAGATCTAAAGTAGACAAAATGTACCCTGAACCTGTATGTCCTTTTCTTGTATGTCTGTTACAGCCTTCCCCTGTGGCTGTTTTTCTGATCTTCCTGGTATACAGGGCAGGGGAGAAAAAGAAAAGACCTGTTTTAATACTGGTTTGTCTCTTCTTGCTGAAAGAGCAGCATTAGAAGGTTTCTGCAGTGAGAAGCCCACCCCTGATAACACCCAGCACATGCTACACACTCTAGTCCAGTCAACTTTTTCTGTCCGTGGTTAAGTCCTCTGTTTAAGTTCCCGGCCGCCTGGGAATCCCGTGTTACATGGATTCACTGTCTCTGTTGTTGCCGAGAACGTTCCTGCTCTTGTCCTGCTGTTGCGTAACAGCCTTAAGAGTGCGGCTCTCCTGGGGACCCGGGCTGTGCTGCCCGCGCAGCTCCTGCTTCCTGCTCTGCAAAGGCAGCAGAGCGAGCGGAGCAGTTTTGGCAGCCAAGTCCTGCCTGGGGCCCGTGGCTGGGCAGTGGTGTTAGGTGCTCAAGCAGGGTTTCCGTCATAAATATCCTTTATGCTGGTTGTCTGTGCAGGACGGAGTTTCACTCTGAATTGGAAGAATGCACATCCCCTTTGTGCTTTCATCTGTAATCACTCGTGGTGAGCAGAAAAGGAATGGATTTTGTGCAATTTACTGTGATTGYGCGTAGCTACTTCTCCATTCACTGGTTTCTTTGATTTTTGTTTTCCCACACTACTGAAACACGCATTCTGGAGAGAAAAATCCTCAAATTTCAAAGCCTTTGAGGGAAAATTGTTCAGGTCGTGTCCTGCTCTACTCAGCAGGATGTTGTCTTTATAAAGCCTTAGTTTGTTAGTGGTCCTTGTTCATAAGGATAGTTACCTGGAACTCACGTTGGTGGACACGTATCACCAGGAAGGGGTAAGGTTACTGAATGGCAGTGTCTGTGGATGCAGATTGGGAATCAGGATATTGAGGGCTGAAGGTGCATCCGTATGAAATGGAGCCTGCTGTCCACTCAGCTACATTGAATGCATGTCTAAGTTACGCTGTAAGCAGAAAATAAAGCTGGGAGTGAAGTGTGCCCAGCTGTGCGTGTTCCTGTCATCCCTGGTTCCAGTCAACCAGTCTCCATGTTTTCCATCCCATTTGTTCTCTCATACAACCAGCGATTGCTGGTACCAAATGCCAGGCAATGGAATATGCACTGACAGGCTAATTTCAAAAGTGTCRGGTATCTGCTCTACCAGCTGAGTCATGGTAGAAACACCAAGAAAAGGTCTTTGGGTTGGTTGGATCCTGCTGTTTYGGTTGTCGGGTTAAGAAAGAGATGAACTGCAATAGAGTGACTGTATTAAGACATTCTTGTCTTCTGGCGCTCAGCATAAGTCTGTAGCTGATTCTTGTGGCTGGCATCTCTATGCCAGTTCACACTGGATGTACTAAAGGAATTGCACTGAAGTGTCTTGTTGATGGGAGAAGGCACCAGTTGTTACAGTATGAAGGAGGTGGGTGGTTAGAGCCCATGATCATGATTCTGTTCTGTGATTACTCACTGCAGTTACAGGGAGCGTCAAGGAGGCCATGGTCTCATTTTCCTAGGAGACTGAGTCACGTAAGAGATAGGATTTTACCTCAGTCCCTTCAGCTGCATTTGTAGAAAATTAGCAAGGAATAACAGCCACAGTGCTATCATTTTAGTTGCAGTCACACATCTAAAATACCCTCATCTTCATAGTATCTTGTGCATTATCATTGTGTTTTCATTTGTGTCGTCACKGTGTTATCATTTGTGTCATCACGGGCTTGTTTCTGGTGGGGCACTTGCTGAGCAGCCCAGGATCTTGCTGAAGGCAGTCATGGCCGAGGCACCTGCCATGGSCAAGGACAGTCACGTTCCGTGAAGAGTCTGTCCTTGGCAGGGCAGCTGGGCAGGGGCCCTTTCAGAGGGGCTGCAGCCTCCCTGGGTTGTGTGAAGGCTGTCTGCCAACAGGAAGTTTTTGTTTTCTCGGTCTTTTTCAGTATTTTCCCCTCTCTCTTTCTGTTTCCGTAGCTATTTCTTTTTTTTCTGGTGGTTGTTCCTTAGGGAAAYTGCCCTTCCAAGCCAGAACAAAAGGCTGGTTGGATTATAAATTTCTGTTATTAGGATCATAAAGGCTTTTTATCTTAATTTCACTTTCTTCCCTCATTTTTATCTTCCCTACCTTGTATGAACATTCATTGGTGCGAAGCCCCACAGCTTTACGTCTTTTCCTCCTTTCGTTCCATGCAAAATCCTATCTAGAGTGATTCAGTGCCTGCCTGAAGCTGAGGAAGCAAGAGGTGATTGTGAGGAAACACTTTAATTTCCCAATGAAAATCCTCAAATTGGATTTTTACTCATGGTTGGCATCCCTGGGGATTAGGGTACAATAAAGTGATGGTAGCGATTTTGTCTGAGAAGGCAGCGCTGCAGATTTGCGAGGGAGTTTTGATGTCTGAGTAGAGCTGATACGGGAGCTGCTGGAGTATTTCCTCTTTCATCTCCTGGGAACAGGCTGGGATTCAGAACAGACCCTCGCTTGATGCTCCCTCTTCAGCACCCTGCAAAGTGCTGCCACTCYGGTCCCGAGTCGGTAGAGCTCACTTAGGTTGGTAGTCGACAGTTGATTACTTGAGAAGTTTAAAAAATAACTCCATGCTTATGTGAGCTGATGGATGCCAAGGCCAAAGAYGTGCTTTCCTTACAGGRCTCAGCACCTCCAGCTTAGATAATGTTGTGGCAGGGAAGTTGCGTTGGCTGGCAGAACAAGGATGCTCAGGAGTGGAAAAACTTGTTTCTGTGGTTTCAGCGAGATTTTCTCACTAGTATTTTACAAGAGTCTGGATCTGTTTTTTCAGAGGATAAAAGCTTTCAGTCCCTGCATATCCATAAACAACTATGTCAGCCTTGTGTGTGTTCTTGATGCGACTGGCTGGGAGCAGCTCCCGGCTTAGCAGGTCTCAGTTCGTGCTCAGTGCTGAACCTTTCAGGCTGCACTCGTGGTCACCCGAGCAGGCCCCCCTGCCCATGCCTACAATGCATGCTGAATGCAGCCAGTTCTGGAAACCAAACATCCTACTGCAAGTGTTTGTTCTGACAAGCTCAGAAAGTGAACTCCTTGCCACCATCATCTGCTATAGTTCTGAAAACATGTTGGTCCTAAAAGCATTCCTGCCCATAAGCTTCTTGGCTGGAATACCCTTGAATATGACAGGAAATGAAGAGGAATTAAAATAATTTGTTAAAACAAAAACAACAACAAATCTGCTATGTTCTCGTGTGCTTAGCAGTGGAAGCTGGAGGCAGTTTCACGTTGCTCTTTTCCTTGGTGCTTCGCAGATGCTCTCTGCCTGTGTTAGGGCTGGGTTCTGAGCTGCAGAGCAGAGTCTGTAGGAATCTTTCATCGTTCATAATCCACCTTAAGAAGGGCCGTGGGCTTCCTTTCACAGGCCAGTGAATTGCCCTTAGTGTCCAGCTGCTCASGTTGTCCCTCTGGTTCTGGCGTGGCTTCTGCAAGAGCGCAGAGTGACTTAAGAGAGCTGAGGAAAACAAAACCCGACGACCTGGGCTTTGGTGATGCTAGCAGGGTTATGATGGTTTCTTACAGCAAGCCGTCCTTACCCAGGCCTTGCCTGTGTGAGTCGCTCCTTGCTGTCCAGTGAAGTGAGATGCTTTGCATTGCTCTGCRTCCCGTTTTCCTGCCTCAGAGCAATTTGTTTTGGATGATTTACAGCGGGGTCRCTGCTTCTAGGTGTGAGGTGGCTCAGTGGAGCCAAGGCAAGTCAAAGCGCAAAGCTYTATTTCTGTAGCTCGAAGTTTAAGGAAAAGACGAAGTGCAGCATATTGGAGAGCATTTGGCAGCATATTGGAGAGGGAAACTGYTTCATCAGATCCCAGATTCAGTCATAGGAGTAGGGAAAGGAAACATCTATTCCCTTTGCAAGCAAGGAGGCCTCTACTTCTGTATCAACATTTAAAATATATTTCGAACAGTAATTTCTAGCATGCCAAATGAAAAGCCTACCAATTACTCACTATGTTGCTATTGGTGCTGTTAATAATGCAATTTATTAAGCTTAAAGGTTCTAATGGAAATATATAATAGGGAAGATACCAARCCTCTTTCCTGGAGAGATACATAGGGCAGAAAAGGAGCCCGTTCTGCAGGAGCAGCTTCCCGGCAGTGCAGACGTGTGCAGGCTGCCCCGCGGAGCCGTGCAGCGTTTCCGTGTGCTGCCTTCGCAGCTCCCAAGTGAGCTTCTAATTTGGGGACCATTAAGTGAATGTCTCAGAGGTCCCCTGTGAGACACGCAGCCCAGGCTCTTCCTGGCGCTGCAGTGCTCTCCTCCTTGTGCCCTTAGTTGCCATCCTTCCTTCCTGCAGCCTTGGGGTTTTTCCCACTTCCATCCTCCTGAATAAAATGTGGAGGATCTGCAGGCTGAACATCCCCATAGCACTGAKGAGCTTTGCCTATATAATGGTGTCAATTCCAAAAAGCTCACACCGTGACACTGGTTTATTTGTATGCAGTAGGAAGGACCTTGAAATGTTTAGAGCTCTATGATTTTTTTATGTTTCTTGAGGCAAAAACTAGGTATCATCCTGGCATCATCTCCTCCAATGTCTTGGTATTTGGTTCCTAAATATGAGGCTCAGTTGGAGTGACAGTCTCATTTTATGCTTGTGGAGGCTTTCAAACATTTGGCCCTTAACATATATTGCAATTGTTTATCACAGCTGCTAAAATCTGCTCTARTATCCTTTGTGTTTATTTAAAATGCATTCCTTGGCCACCAGTAGCTCTGTTTAGACCTCTTATGGGATGCAATACATGGTAAACCAAGGAGAAAGTGCTG